TGAGGGTTGATGGGGGAGTAGGAGGGAGGGGAAAGTGGGTGATGCGCATTGAGGAGGGCACTGTTGGAATGAGCGCTGGGTGTTGTATGCAAACCAATTTGAAAATAAATCTCATATTAAAAAAAAAAAGAAAAGAAACTGTTTTGTAGGCTCTCTGAGTTTATTTTTACTATGCCTTGCCAAAGTTCAGTGCTTTATTTGGGAGAAGAGATTTTATTTATTTATTTTAAGTTTATTCACTCTGAGAGAGTGCAAGTGGGGGAGGGGCAGAGAGAGAGAGAGAAGGAAAGAGAATCCCAAGCAGGCTCTGCACTGCCAGCACATAGCCCACTGTGGGGCTTGAACCCTTGAACTGTGAGATCATGACCTGAGCTGCAGTCAGACGCTTAACCCACTGAGCCACCCAGGGGCCTGCGAGGGCAAAGGTTTTAAAAGGATGATAGACTGCTGTTAAAATCTGTTGTGGTATCTTAATACCACTAATCCACATTGCTGGCTACCTCAAATTCTTGGCCTAACTTCTAAATAGAATTATGGACTCTCATGTCTTAGCTTTTAAAGCCAGTTATTCACAGGACTGCCATCAGTAATCTCTGAAAGTTTCATGTAGTTTACTACATTATTTACCAGATAAAAATAATGATTCTGTAATTAAGGAAGATAATAAACATTGAAATACTGATCTTCACTGAGTATTTTCACACATATTTCAGTTAATTCTTTTGATAATATTTTAAGGTAGGTATTACTATCCAGTGTTCATTAATGGGTAACAGACTCAGAGACAGTAAATAATGTGAAATTCATATAGTTACTTGCAAGACTCAGTTCAAATCCAAGATCTGTTTGACACCTATTCTCATACATTGAGCTTTCTCTCTTAAGGGCATTTTCTCAAGCAGGACTCTAAAAGTGTGTACACAGGGAGCCTGTGTAGCTCAGTTGGTTAAGCATCTGACTCTTGATTTCAGCTCAGGTCATGATATCACGATTTGTGAGATCGAGTCCCTCGTAGAGTTCTGCACTGACCCTGTGGAGCCTGCTTGGGATTCTCTTTCTCCCTGTCTCTCTGTCCTTCCCCCACTCACATACAGCATGCTCTCTATCTCTCTCTCAAAGTAAGTAAATAAACATGAAAAAAAAAACCCAAATATGTATTTATATAAAACTTTATTAGTGTTCTAGGAGTAGTTTACATTTCATCCTTAACTATAAAGCTAGATATGATAAAATGCTAATTTTTTGTTTGTTTGTTTTGGTATATTCACCTGCGAAATGAACACAACTGTTTCTTTTGCTCTACCTGGCAAGCATCTCATTAGGATAGAGTTGTAATATAAGTTGAAGCTTTGTAGATTACGGATACCATATAGCCAGGATCCTTGTGTTTGGTTTTTATTATTAGTCCCTAGAGCCACTTGTGTTTTTAATATAAACTTTTGTATGATGGACTTTCTTGAAAGACAAAAATAAAAAGGAACATGGGCATGATCTGACCAGTGGTTTTAAACCACATAATTTCATGCTGAGAGATCTTGTACTTGATTTGATTTAACAAGTATTCATTTTCAAAATAAAATTGTAAAAATAAAATAAATGATTAAGTTTATGCCCAAGTAAACTTTTTTCAGTTAAAAAATTATAACATTCTTGGGGCATCTGGGTGGCTCAGTCAGTTAAGTGGACTTTGGCTCAGCTCATGATCTCATGGTTCATGGGTTCAAGCTCTGTGCTGACAGCTCAGAGCCTGGAGCCTGCTTCAGATTCTGTGTCTCCCTCTGTCTCTCTCTGCCCCTCCCCCACTCATTCTCTGTCTCTCAAAAATGAATAAACATTAAAAAAATAAATAAAAATAAAAAATTATAACATTCTTATATTTAAATATAGTCCTTTAAAAAAATCTCTTGAGCTTGGCTAACTTTCCATGATCTCTTGACTAACATTGTATGAACTAAGACTTAATCTGAACACATGTTTTGAAATACTAAATTGTTCATTAGAGGAGGAAGGAGCTTTCTCTGGCATTGATGATAGATACAGACCTTCTCCTCTCCTCCTCAGGAAATCTGTTACAAACAGTATCTTAATTATTTAATTTCAGAAGGTGATTGCTTTGGTATACATGGGTTGATCATCTGGAAGGAATTATTGTAAGATCTTTTTTGTCATCTCAATGTAGAAATGATTATGTTTTTAGGAATACGAACAAAAAGTGTCTCAGAGAAAGACTCAGTCTGACTTTTGAATCTGAATTTGTGATTTATATTTAGTATCATATTTAGAAGCTCAGGATCATTTTCGTATACTCAATTTATATGAAACTCTAAAGACCTTTCGACCTCACTGTCTTCCTACTCTTCTGAAAGCAGTGTGTAGTATTGAAGCTCTGAGACACCGATCCTTCAGTAGAGTCTTGGTGCCATTGTTTCAAACCTTAGATTACGTAACCTCTCTGTTTTCTCATCTCAAAATGGAAATTATTTATTTTTTGAGATTTTATGATTTATGATTTAAAAACATATAATGAAAGAAGTTAGTTCTATCTAGTGCATAATATTTGCTGCCTAATATTCATTTATTATGCTATTATTCTCATTTCACAGCATAATATGCTTATAAGAAAATATTGTCTACTCTGTAATTGATCACCTCATTTGACAATGTATTTCCATTTTTTATAAGCATACAGAGAATCACATAGCTTCATGTAATTTCTAATCATCTTAGAGGAATATATATATATATTTATATTTAATATAGATACAAGAATATACGTTTAATATAATAAAACTAAGTAGAATTTATCTTTAAATATTGTTTTTCTTTTCTTCTTAATTTAAAAAAATTTAATATGCATAAAATTGGACATTCACATTCTTCATTCTAACAAAAAAATAAAAATACTTTTTAAAACAAGGGGATGTTTGTCTTGCCATGTACCATTATAACAACTCCCTAAGAGATGCCAGCATATGTTATGTGGGATAAAGGCTGGTTCCCATTTGATGGAAAGGTTGCCCCTGCACCTCATTATGCTGATTGAAAGACACAACATTATCTAATGCAGCACATGCCCTTATCTGTCCAATTACTTAATGTTAAGATCGCAGTGCATGGTTGGGTATATTCTTTGGATTCAGACAAGTGCATTATAAAATGGATGGTCCCAAATGAAGAATTAGAAGATGTGTTTGTAATTCATTGTAGCCCATTTAATTTTGACTGTAAGAAAGAGATAACAAAAGCATCCTTCAAAGTAATGTGTCATTAAGACATACCCTCATAGCTAATGGATCTGCAGGTGCAGTTGGTGAGTTGATATCCTAAAATGGCGCATTTGGGTTTGTTTTGACAGCTTTGGCATTTATTTATGCCAGATCAACCTAAGAAGGAAAAGAGAAAAAAAATACAAGAATCAGCACTTTCATCCTTTATATAGAACATTAATTCTGTGTCTAATGAAGCCATTCTCTTTTTATTTAGTTTTATTTTTAATCATTTTAGTTATGTTTGATAAAGGAGAGAAATGGTGGTAAGAGCATGTTTTGTAGCTAGCAAGTTACTGATAAATTTATTTGCTATCATTGGTAATAAAAGAGAGAAATCTTTTTTTAAAGTAGCAAAAAGTATAGATTTTTAAGCAATGAGGAGGCCTGCATTAAAGCTACTCTCCATGTAAGCACTGTGACATGGCTAGTTAAGTAACTTCCATTGGGATTCATTTGCCTTTCCTGTAAAATGGGATAATGTTACTTCTCTGTATGCTTACTTCGAAGGGCTGATCTGAGTATCCAGTTAGGTGCAGTATGTAAAAATCACTTCTGAGTTCTAGATGAGTCTTTTATGAAGCTGAGCTGCTTCATTCATTCGGCAGACTTTCACAAGTTGGGGATAGTAAACACATTAAATTAAAATTAGTTGTACATATTCACTTGTTGCTAAATTAAAGAAAGTGCATCTTCAGTACTGGAATCAGATTCTATTTATGTGGCTATCTTTAGCGCTACAAAATTATTTGTGGAAGAGAAAAGGAGGAGCAAGAAGGGTAAGATGGTCGTTCTAGAAATTGGCAGTTAATAGAGGAGGATGAAAAGAGAAGCAGTGATAAAGCCATAGTGATAATTGCACGTTATGATTGAAAAGAACCCATTACCAAATATATTTTATTCTATTTGAAAACAAAGGTCACACATGCATTAAATACTTTTGTTTTTAATATCCTGAGAGAAACTATATTTCATCCTTTTACTTAAATGAATAGTGCATAGTTGGTTTGAGTTCTTCATAATAACTTCACTGTACCTTATGATCATTTCAGTTTGTAGCATTCTTTTCTGCCCATACAGCATTTCTTCAGATGACTTATTTTTAGATTATCATGCTTTTGAGCAGTTAACAAATTTACTCCGTTCCACCCATTTAAATTTTTCCTGTTTGAGATCAAAGCCTAGATTCATAAATAAACCTCCAATTTCAGCTCTAGAAGACCCTACGGCATTAATATTATTGTGAATTATCTCAGACCCTGTATTGTTTTTACCTGTTACGGGAAGAGCATCAGTTTAACATGGCAGATGCATTAGCAATATTAGCAATCTGTTCCACCAGCGGAACAGATCATTAAGAGTTACAAATAGCTACTCTCATTTGAATATCCAAATATTATGCAGTTCATTTGGTTTTGTTAATGGCTAATCACAAAGAATATATATTTAAAAGTAGAATAAAAGCAGATGCAAGACTTTAATTGTACTTTTAATCCCTTGGTTTTTCTAGATTCTAGAGCATTACAGTTATAACCATTTGAATCTCTTCCTAAAGATTTTGTTTTAAATCACAATGAGATTTTGATGCAAATTAAATTTGAAAGCTACATTCATGGTAACTTTATTTCTGTAAAAATGGCTATACAAATTAAGCAATAATTAACAAGGACTAAGTAGTCAACAATTTATTTTGAATCAAGGGCCTGTCTTCATATGCTTCATGGTTGTTACAATTTAGTGTTTGTCATAAGTCAGTGTGTACACTGTTAAAAAAGAAAAGAAAGAAAAAACAAAAGCAGAAAAACGCTAAAGCTCAAATTGGTACTTCTAAGGAAATTACCTAAGCTTTCAAATCTAAAAGTAAAATTGGCAGCATCAGTTTTTTTCTAAACTGAACGAGTAATTATGACATTGGCCTGAGTTTCTTTTTAAATAATTTTGAGTTCTGTGACTGAAATACAGAAGCACTTTTATAAACATCATTAGGAAATCACTGTTAGACTGAACTCAAGGCAGAAGAACAAATTTAAAAGCTATTTTTAACATTTCACAGTAAAATGATAAATATTGTTTATTCGTGATTAATTCAATAATTTTCTATTTTTTCCTAAATATTTCATTAAAATCTTTTAAATGATTTATTGTTAAAAGAAAGTTTAGTTTGTTCACTGTTAAATTGCTTTGGAGCCTAACGCTGAATAAACTGCCTTGTGTTAGAGTTATTTACTTCCCTGAAAGGAATCATGATTTGCCCAGGTCTTCTGTTCTTGCAAAGCTGAATGCAAATATACAGTAGCTAGGTGCTCAGATTTTTTTTTTAAGTTTATTTATTTTGAGAGAAAGAGAGAGTGCAAGCAGGGGACTGGCAGGGGCAAAGAGAGAGGAAGAGAGAGAATCTCAAGCAGGCTCCACACTGTCAGTGCAGAACCCAATGTGGGGCTTGAACCCATGAACCGTGAGATCATGACCTGAGCTGAAATCAAGAGTTAGACACTTAACCAACTGAACCACGCAGGCGCCCCAAGGTGCTCAGATTCTTGTCAGTTATGTAGGGTATATGTCAATCCCACCTGTGAAAAAAAAAAAATGCCCCTTAGTTGATAAAGCTAAATATGCACATTCAAAGCTAAATGGAGGACATTAAGTCAATAATTCACCTACGATATAAAACACTCTATTAGAAGGTACAGTTACCTTTATTCCTGCCTTTTATTTTAGCATCATAAGCTGAGTGGGTGATCTTTGAAGGGCAAGTAAATCTTGATTTATTGAAGCATGCTAAAGGAGTTTGAAATAAACATTATGAAATGGAGAAAAATTCAATCTAATAATACACATATTTCATTTTTAGCTCTAAATAAAGAGGTTAATTTTGATTATAATGAAAAGGATTACAGTGAAGTGCTTTGGCAAATAATACTTGATCTGATGAAGGCAATGTTTGATTCAACAAATTGCAGTGTAATAAATTATTCTAAGAGTTATTTTTGAAATTATTTGCCTGTGACCACAATACTTGTACTTAGAGTTAAACACACAAAATTTGATCTATTCATGGATTGTAAGACAGCATGTTCTTTGTTTCTTGTTTCTTGTAGCATGTAAAATTTTAACTTCAGAATATGAGTTATGTGGTTTAAAAGGTTTCCAAGAGTTATTTTAATATCCAAGTTTCAATATGTATTTTATCTAAAGCACCACAATTATCTTTTAACACCTCTGTGCACTCAATTTTTATTTCTAACACTTATGTGGTGACAGTTGAAAAGTAAAATAAAATCTCTCAAATTCATATTCATTCCTAATCAGAAATGGAAATCATCACACGGTTTATAGACATAAAACCATACATTTTGGTTCTGTGCAATTAACGTACATATCTCAACAAAGAATTTGCATGGCTAACATAGGAGAAGTTGTGAAGTATTTTTCTTTGAGTCACAATTATTTGTTGGTATGTGCAGTTTAGTAAATGAACATGTTACTTTGAGCACTCTGAGGAAGGTATGACTATTTCCATGGGAAGGATGTGGGGAATCCAGGGATAATTCATCTTTCATCTGTTCTTTTTTTTTTTTAATGTTTATTCAGTTTTGAGAGAGAGAGAGAGAGAGAGAGAGAGAGAGAGAGAGAGAGAGTATGAGTGGGGGAGGGGCAGAGAAAGAGAGAGAGACAGACTTCAAACCAGGCTGTAGGCTCTGAGCTGTCAGCACAGAGCTGGAACTGGAGCTCTAACCCATGAACTTCAAGATCATGACCTGAGTTGAACTTGGACACTTAACCTACTGAGCCACACAGGTGCCCTTCATCTGTTCTTTAAAATTTTAACAGATCTGGGAATGATATCTCAGACTGAGCCACACAGTTGCATGTTAAAACACAGACTTCATCCATGTAGCTGGTTTCTAAGTGCCTCCAGTACAAGACAAACTATGCTTTATTTATCTGTGTGACTCCAGTTAGATAAGAATCCAATAGTATACAAATATAATGAGATGCAGCAACTACCCTGAAAGATTTATAGGGAGAGTGAATAACATGGAGAAAAATAAAGAAGAGGTCATTGGACTTAGCAATTTGAAGCAATTTTGTGATTTGTGATTTTTTGAGAGAGTGAATTTAGTAATATAAAGAAGTAGAAAACAGATTATGGGTCATTAAAAAGCTATTACAGAGTGAAGTACAAAACAGCCATATATCAGTTCTTCTTTGCAGTTCTGTGACAAAGTGTTTAATGGTGTGGAGGGTAAGAAGGAGGCAATATTACAGATAATTTTTAAAGATGGAGAGACTGTAAGGTAGAATCCAGTAGAACAAGTGAAACTGAAGGAAGATCTAAAAAGACAGAAGTGTGGGAGAGTCAGAGTCCCTGATGGGGCAAGGTTCTAGAAGGTATTTAGGAACTGGAAGTGAGAGTACCAGAAAAAAATATTAGATTTCAAATATTGCCAGATGTTTTGGAGAAACTTTATCCAATGTTAATACACAGGAGCTATTTAATATTATTTGTAGATTGAAGCATAAAACTAACACAACAGTAAATTATAAGAAGGTCATAAGTTTCAAAAGTAAGAGCTGTGGAATATTCTCCCAACAAAATAGATCTAATCTTTCAAAATCATATTAAATGAAAGGACACAGGAAAAAAAAAAAAAAAGATGTGTGTGGGAGGGCAAATTTGCTTTGCTACCCCCTGCTAAAGAAAACCCATACTTTCCTATGGCACTGAATCAATTTTTAGCTTGGCAGGAAAACATATTTATATTTATATTTATATTTATATTTATATTTATATTTATACTTATATTTATATTTATATTTATACTTATATTTATATTTATATTTATATTTATATTTATATTTATATTTATATTTATATAATTATATATAATAGATTGCAGCTACTGTGAGGCATTATCATTATAATTGAGTAGGTAATGTGTGCAGCTTGTGTTTCCTAGTGAAGAAAAAATTTATGGTCTTGGAGTGCCAGAAAAAATTGCATAACCTCATTTTTTATTGTTTGTTTCAGCTCCTAATGTGGCGCCTTCAGATGTAGGAGGTGGAGGTGGAAGCAACAGAGAGCTGACCATAACATGGGTGGTAAGTATGAATAAGTTGCATTTATTATAGGCTGCTTTACCTACACTGAATCTCAAAACCATTTTGTTTCCTGAAATAATATGGAATAAAAGACAATGCCCAGAGTAAACTGTTTTTGTTTTGTTCTGTTTTGTTTTTGTTTAAATATAATTAAAAAAAATTTGAATTGGCAATTAGGGAAATTATCAACAAGTAGAAGAAACTGAGTTCACCAGAGATTTCAATGTAGATTTTGTCTCCATTAAGTGAATGTAAAGAGAAAATTGAATTTTGAGTGGAAAGCAATCCACTGTTGTTCTGCATATGGTTGTTATCGGCATTCATTTGTTGATTTATGCCTTATGAGTTAACTCATAAGGTATAAATCTGGTGAGTGTACATTGAACACTTTTATTCATGGTCAAGATAGAATCAGAGGCCAAGGATGCTAGCTATCTATTTGTTTTCTTTGCATGACCGTATCTACCACCTTTCTTGATTTATAAGAATTACCTGGAGAAAAATAGGAATTTGTGGTTTATAGAGTAACAATATAAAAGTTATTGCTGTTATTTTTGGTGAAATAAATAAATTGTTCACGATGTATTTTAATTTAAATAAAATGTGAATTTTATTTTTAAAAGAACATAACAAAGAAATACCTTTTATAACCATAGATGCAAAACTTAACAAAATGTTGGCAAATTAAGCCCAGCAAAATACTAAAAGAATGATACACTATGACAAAGTAGAGTTTATCCCAGCAATGCAAAGTTGGTTTCACAAATCTCATCATATTGGCAGAATAAAGGAATGAAACCATAGGGTCTTCTCAATAGATGCATAAAAAGCACTTGGCAACTTAAAAAAGTCATTTATTTTTTAAAAATTCAAGGTAAACTAGAAATAGATGGGAATTTCCTACACCTGGTAAAGAGTATTTATAGAAATCTTGTAGCTAATATAATGGGCTTAGTGGTGAGAGACTAAGTATTTTCCTTTTAAGTTTGGACACAGAGCAAATATATCCCCTCTTGATGTTATAATAGTCCCCAACCAGTGAAATAGGGCAGAAAAAAAGAAAAGGAAGAAGAAGAAGAAGAAGAAGAAGAAGAAGAAGAAGAAGAAGAGGAGGAGGAGGAGGAAGAGGAAGAAGAAGAAGAAAAGAAAAAAGAGCACGAAGTGTATATGTGCAGAAAATTCTAGGAAACCTATAAACAACTTTTAAAATTAATAGGCATATTTAATAGAATTGCAGGATACCTAATCAATGTTCTAAAGTCAAATGTTCTTTTATATTTTATTGGTTTGCTGCTAACAAAACTTTAAAAATACATTTATAATGACAATTAGAAAAACATAAAATACATAGACATAAATTAAACAGAAACATACAAGACTTCTCTACCAAGAACTACAAAATATTCCTGAGAGAAACTAAGGAAAATCCAAATAAATGAACATAAATAGCATGTTCATAGATTAGAAGAATCAAGTAAATTTGAAAAATAAAAACAGAAAAACAAAGGTGTAGGATTTCACTACCTGAATTCAAAATTTACTAAAGCTGCATTAATTAAGACAATGTGATATTCCCATAAGGACTGATACATATCAACGGAGTAGAGAGCCCAGAAATAGACTCACACTCATATGATCAATTAACTTGCAACAAAGGCACCAAAGTGATACAAAGAAAATAACTTTATTTTCTTTTTCAATAAAAAGAAAAACTTGTTAACGAAAGGTACTGGAATAATTGGGTATTCAACTGGGGAACGTTTACCCAAAAGGAATCTGGATGTTCTTTGGTACTGCTCTTGTTCACTACACTAAACTGATATGTTTGTCCTTTTCTATTTACACATCAGTAATGTAGTATCAGCTAGTCCAAAGACCATATCTACTATTATGGTAATATTTCTACTGCAGGGGTATTCTCCTTTTGTTTGTTTTGTAAAAATAATTTTTTAAGCTAGAAAGCAACATTTTTTAAAATTAATGACAGCTCCAATGCTGAAGTATTATGTAAACAAAAATTACTGAAGATCACACAAGTCAGAAATAACTCACATTGACATTTTGGGGTGGTCTTTCTAATCTTCTACATATGATGTCATAAAATTTGTAAAATAAAAACAGAAAGCATTTTTAAACTTAATATTATTTTGCATGCAATTTTCTTTCTTCAAGACTCCTTGAGATTTTATTATGTTGTTTGCATAGAATATGGCAATATTAACTTTCAGTTCAACATGTTTCCATGACATTTGTAATTGCATTTTTGAAAAACAAATTTTATCTTCAAGCTTTATCCAACTTGAACATCTATTTCTGAAGTATCTGACAAACTCACAATGACTTCTTTTCATGAAAATTGTTCATGTCACAATCCCCTATCCAAAATGTTACTTTACTTGAAAAAAAAAAAAAAGGAAGAAGAAAAAAAAAATCAATGCTCAAAGCACAAGCAAGAATAAATTACTAAAATTATTTTTTTCCTCAAATGCAAGTCAGATTTTACCTATGGCTGAGTGTATAGTTCCTGTGCAAAAATTGATCCACTGGCCTAAAAGATTAAACAAAAATCTTGCTATCTGATTCTAGATAGATTTTGAGCTCACTGTGGTGTGGTAACCCAATTTTAATTTATAACACTTCTCTGGGCATTCAAAACCCCAAAGATTTAAAAACTTTTGTATCAGCACCTGTTTTCAAAATGAAGTTTGCTTTCTTACCTGAGACTTATTTTGACCACTAGTGTAATGTATTATAATATGTTGTCTCAGGAGTCACCCAAGGGACTTGTTATTGAGGCACCCAAAACGTTTTGTTAATCTTTTATGACCCAAAGGGAAGTCTATCTCAGAAACCATAATGTCTGAGAAACAATGCCTCTCATCTGGATTTTTGAAGTGAGACAGATATCGGTGGAGGAGAGGGCTGCAATAGTATAAACTTGTCTGCATTAGACATCTGTTTATCTAGGTAACATGTTTATATAGGTCCATGTGTACCCATTAAATATCTTTAGTGTTCAATCATTGCAGATAGTCAAAAAGCACAACCTAGCTCCAAGGGATTTTTAGGAGTGCAAAAAAAAAAATCAGGTTTTAATTTTTGCAGAAATCAAATCAATTTAAGTAAGTGGATATTTAGCAAAAATTGACTTCATTCAGTGCTGTGTCATATTTTATTCTTGGCATTTAGGTTACATTCTTAAGATTTAGAAATACTGAATGCTGAATATCAAGTTATTTAATTTGTAGGTTTTAGTCAATGTAACATGCATAAGTGTGGATATTAGGGAAATTAGAATATTCTATTCTTTTATATATGATTTT